AAATCAGCCAATCAGTATACTACTAGTTGCTCAGATATCATTCTCAGTATAGACATCAGAGATCCAGAAACCACTCAACCTAACCTCAGAATACTGACTTGGTACAACCCTCCTGGATCACTACGAGGTATGGCAACACTGGAAAGGTGGCTACACTTACACCACAATCGCCAAATTCCTACAGTACTCACAACCGACTCCAACTTACATCACCCCTACTGGAATCCACCATCCTACCACCGCACCGATACTCAGGCAAGAAAACTTATGAAAATCTGCAGCTCAAATGGATTCAAACTAAGTTCGCCACGAGGAGAACCAACAAGGTTCTCTAAAGGAACGGCCGAAACAACAATTGATCTTATTTGGACAAGTTGGAACCTGACCAACAAAGTCACGAGTTGTAAAGTCCTAAATGAAGGAATAGCTTCAGATCATCTCCCCGTAGCTATTTTCCTCAACATGTCCCTAATACCCCAAATGGATACTCATATATCATTGAACTATGCTAACATAGATATTCCGTTGTTTCATGACAGACTCAAATCAAAGATGAACCTCCTCCCACCAGATTTTTCAACAAAAGAAGAGTTAGATCATGCAGCAATTAACATCACAACATTTATATTAGAATCAGCACAAGAACAAGGAAAGAAAGTTAAAACCAACCTCAGAAAACACAAGATCTGGTGGGATAAGGAGCGACTCGACCCAATACTCAAAAACCGAAACAGAGCAAGACGATGGATGAATCTCTCAAAATTGCCCGAAGCTCAGGAGTGCTATGACAATTGGCAACGCTACTGGAAAACCCAAGTCACGATAGCAAAAGCAACACACTGGAAGAAATTCTTAGCCAACGCGTCAAACATCACCACATTCAAAGCATTCAACTACACCAAGCCAACATCCTCTAGTGAAGTCGACCCGCTCCTGCGACAAGATGGAACGGTCACCTCGGAGAAAAAAGAGCAAGCCGAGCTACTTTTTTACGGAACGTCTGTAGCTCATGTAGAAGCGGACTTATCAGATTTATCACATGAAGTATGGAACAGACAATCAGACGATCAACTAATTTTCCCAGAACTTTCACTGGAAGAACTGAGACGTGTAGTGAAAGACATTCCCAACAAAAAAGCAAAAGGAAAAGATGGGGTAGCTAACGAACTCATCAAACTTGCACTACCAGCAATCGAACTAGACTTACAACAATTCTTCAACTCCTGTTTTAAACACGGATACTTTCCAAATAGCTGGAGGAAAGCAGTGACAATCATCATCAGAAAAGCAGGAAAGGACAACTACTCGGTACCCAATGCGTACAGACCAATTGGTCTGCTAAGTTGTCTAGGGAAAATCTTAGAAAAACTAATCACCAACCGGATCACGTACTGGGCAGAGAGCTTTAACGTAGTCTCACCCAATCACATGGGAGGTAGAAAACAACATAGTACGGACGATGCTCTGTTATTAGTCACTTCGTGGATAAAGAAGAAATGGAGAGACAAGGAAATAGTGTCAGCACTCTTTTTAGACGTAAAATCAGCGTACCCGTCAGTACATAGAGAAAGATTATGGCAAATACTCAGATCACACAACTGCCCTAAATACCTACTGAGATTAATTCAGAGCTTCCTTACGGAAAGGTCAACAAACTTACGTCTTCAAGATTATGAATCAGTAGACTTCAATATTAATAATGGATTGCCCCAAGGCTCACCACTGTCAGTAATATTATATATCATATACAATTCTGAAATTTTAGGTTATGAACCTCCAAGACTAGAAGCAAAGACTTTATCAGTAGGATTTATTGATGATGTAGTACACCTAGTGGCAACCAAAACACTTGACCTTAACATCGCTGAACTCGGAAAACTAGCGGAAACCTCCTTGAAGTGGGCGAGAAAACATGGAGCAATTTTTGACCAAAAGAAAGCTCAATTATTACACTTGACAACAAAACGCAATCAAACCTTTCCAACTTTCTCTTTTGGAGATACGACTTTAAAGCCCAAAAATGAAGTTAGATGGCTAGGTTTATGGCTAGATACCAAAATGACATTCAATTATCATATACAACAGATGAAGAAATCAGCTGAATTTACTCTCCACCAACTCAGAAGAATAAATAAATGCTATACAGGCTTATCTATGAAAGAAGTCACAAAGCTGATCATAACAGTGTTAATCCCTAGAATTCTTTATGGCAGTATAGCTTGGTTAACTCAAAAGAATAGTAAAAAAGTGAATAAAATACTAGAAACAGTTCAAAATAATGCAAATCGAATCGTGTTAGGTGCTTTTAGAGGAACATCAAATGAGATGATGAGCCACGATATGTACACTATCCCTTATTTGTGGGTAGCAGCACGCAGGCATCATCGATTCATCCTCAAGAGACTATCATCTCCAGACGACCATCCAACCCTTATTTGTGGGTAGCAGCACGCAGGCATCATCGATTCATCCTCAAGAGACTATCATCTCCAGACGACCATCCAACAAAGATCCTTATAACTCGAGAAACAAGAGAAAAACCAAAATCTATTAAAAGTCCAATTCAAGACTTACTCAAATATCAACAATTTTACACTTTAGCAAAAGAGAAGATCGAAACTATTTACGCACACCCGATTGCACCGTGGATACCAGGAATGGGTGAAGTTTTCAATTTAGATGAGAAGAGAGAAGAAGTTATTAAACGACTACCTCAACAGATAAGAGAAGAAGAAATTGAGCAAGGAGCAGTGGTAATATTCACAGATGGCTCAGTAAAGGAAGAAGGAGGAGGAGCAGCCGCAGTTTCAAAGGTATTCAGTAGAGCTCAAGCAGTAATATATAGAGACAACTTCTCAAATCACGAAATGGAACTCTTGGGAATCCTGCTAGCAGCCGAGCTAGCAATTGATTTATTCAGACAACAACAACCCAAACCTACAACTCTTTTGATCTTTAGCGATAATCAAGCAGCACTACGACTAGTCAATGACATCCCACACCAATCAACAGGACAACACCTACTAATTAGAATTAGGACAACACTCAAGAAATTACCAGAGAACACTAAAATTTGTTTTTTCTGGACACCAGGACACAAAGGGATCGAACTGAACGAGCTCGCCGATCAACTGGCAGCGGAAACAGCAGAGGCTCAAATTTCAGCCATGACACTTCCCTCAAGTATTGGTAGCCTAAAGAAGAGAACTAACGAAGAATTTCATGTGAAGAATTTTCCGTTTAAACCAGGTAAAAACGAATTTGCCACAAAACCCAGGCAGATATCAGAAGCACTTGCTGAACTGGAGAAATATGGTACAGCTGCAATATTTCAACTTAGAGCAGGTTTTAGCCCACTGAACGCGCATTTATTCAAAAGACAACTGACAAACTCACCAAAGTGTGAAGAATGTGGAATAGAAGAAAATACTCATCACTTTTTATTATATTGCAGACGATACACGAGAATAAGGAAGAAAATGAGAAACAAAATAAAAGAAGAAGGGATTAAAGTGAACTGGAACAACAGTAGGAAATTTTTGGACACGCCTAAGGTTTTTCCTATTTTAGCAGAATATATACTAGAGACTAAAAGATTTGTACATGCTCAATCGTTTTTACAGGGACTTGACCAAGGGGAGCGGCCACGGAGCAAAGAACTAGGTGTCATAAGATAAAAAGAGATCAACCAATTTCCGAAACCGCTGATAAATGCTCGTGTAACAGGGCTAGATTGAAAAACATCAGAAACAGCGTCTGTCAAATCTCGTTACAGAGTTCGGCGGATACTACCGTCGAGGCAGCATATTAAAAGAAAACTCACTTTCTCAAACTAAATCGCTGATAAATGCTCATGTAACAGGGCTAGATTGAAAAACATCAGAAACAGCGTCTGTCTAATCTCGTTACAGAGTTCGTTGGATACTACCAACGAGGCAGTCTATTAGAAGAACAATAACCTCTTCAAATCAAATCGCTGATAAATGCTCGTGTAACAGGGCTGGATTGAAAAACATCAGAAACAGCGTACTGTTAAATCTCGTTACAGAGTTCGGTGGATACTACCACCGAGACAGTTTTTGATGAAACTTCAACATGAAGGTTGCATTTTACCAATAAGACATCAAATCCTTAAAAAAGAGATGGAAAAAAAAAAACGGAAAAGAGGAAAACCTCGGAAAATCAAATGACACCGAAAACTTTGCTCCGACTAGATGGCCGACTCCCTAAGGTAAAATAGTCCCTTTTTGAACTTAACGTGTTTAGATAGTGTTATTATGCAATAAAGCCACATGCACTTAAAAAAAAAAAAAAAAACCCCGGCTCAGGAGCTGACACAAATTTCCAGTAATCTGCAATTCCCAACAGGACTCGGAGACAACCGGATGCGCAAGCAGAAAGCCAACAGTCACGGGAAACAATGGAAAAGAAGGTCTAAAAAGTACAAGCCGGAATCTATACAGTGCTGCTCAAGCTTATGTAGAGCGATACAATGTTGATTGAAGCCAAACAATATGGCAAACGAGTGAAGTCCATCTGGTCATACGGTGTTCTTGATCCTCTTCAATCAAATCTACTCTCCAAGCGACTCACGATCCAAAATATCAAAGCTGAACTAGGCCCGCTTCTCAAGCAAGTTACCCCACACCCAGCATACAATCCTCTCCACCCTCTCGCCTTCACAATTGCTTTCCCAAATTCGATGAAACCTCGTGACTTCTCATTAGCTGCCATGGCTTTGGATGGTCCTGTCTTGAGTTCTGATTCAGTCTGAATTGCACTCTTGATCGAATCAGCAGGAAAAAGACAACGTTGTAAATATTCCGCAATCCCCCCAGATATC